ATGCCTACTCCTGTTATGTTTCGCATTCATTTCTGTTACCCTTGGACGAACTAGTCTTCAGGTTATGCAATACAGCGCAAAAACTACAGAGCTCAAACGATCACAATCACAGATAAATGTTGCATGCTGGGAGTTAACTATACTAGGGAAATAAAACTTGCTTGACTTGCTTGACACCGGAAATACGGGAAGCTCGAATTACAGTGGAAACTCACAATAATTAATCGCGTAATAAGTTATTTGAAAGCTTAAATAGTTGAAAACTATCCACATGTTTTCAATATCACCTTGTTGAATCCGGCCAGAGAAGCATTCCTTTACAATAAAAATCAAACGCGAATTCATGGCTATTCATTGCTATTCTTGAGAACACCTCCCCTTGTACATCACAGCCTTTTGACAATCTCGTGAAAAGTTTAAAGGTTCCCCAAAACAGGTGTATACTGGTTGGCGATTATTTTCCGCTAAAGCTATCTTGCATCAGTCTATAAAATGCAACATGTTTCATAATCCCTTTCGGAAAGGTTAAAAGGTTTTGGAAACAGTCTGGCTTGTTGCTTATCGCAATTAGTAGCGGTTTACATAGTTGAAAACACTGCACATGTATCGAAAATCACCTTGTGTAGCCGGCCCGTGACGCATTCGTTTTAGATAAAAATATGACACGAATTCCTTATTTCCTAACCAGAAAATGACCGGCTGCATTTAACTTTGAAAACGTAAATTCCCTTTACTGACGGCCATTAAGTTATTGTAACATTAGCTCGGATACTTGGTTGCAGAGCAATACAATATCCTGTAATTCCTTCACGATCATTACTGATGAAAGGTTAAAAGGTTTTAGAAAGCGCACTGCTTATTATCAACACGCAAGAACGGCTACCTTTTGCTGGGCGCGTTCAGATAGGGGTAATGAAATGCACAAGATTCAAAGAAATTAAATTATAGTATACTCACTCTGTGATGTTGAGCTGGTAATATTTCAACATTTCTGAAGTTTCTTTCTCTGTTAAGATGTTACTTTGAAGGACAACATTAATAAAATCCATGTCCTTTTCAACTGGAAAACGCAATTTTTCAGCAATCCGATCTCCTATGATACTTCTTTTGACTTTGCCGTCAGGTTTAAGCTTTTTCCTGAGACATTCTTGCTTTGCCCAGCAATCAACAGCTTTGAATAACACCGCGTTTTCGACGTTTAGATTTCTTTCAACGAATTCTTCAAGTAGCGATCTTTCGATTGTCAAAAAATCGTCTGAGGTCAATACCTCCTTTGTTTCTTTGTCGATCAACTCCCAACAGGCACAAATAAGTTCATCAAATCCGTATAGTTCGGAGTGTTTTAAAACACAAAGAACGTTTGAGTGGTCCAGTATTTTTAAAATATATCCTATGCAGTCTACGAGAAGGTTTGGAATCATGTATTTCTCTGCAAGATACAACACTTGCATAATGGTGCGGCCAGTGAGGCAAACTTGATCGGTGTAAATGAAACGGAAAAACTCCAAAAGACTTTGATACTCACAGTCAGGCAAATAAATTTCGTTTGTCTCTGCGTCTGCCATTTCTCCACAAAACATTGCGAAAAACACAGGGCTCCTAATCGCCAGCAATGATTTGTGCGCTGGAATATACATCGTGGGGCCACTGCATGATTCAGTTTCATTGTCGTGACTTAGGGACGCTTGAACAACAAATGTAACATCACTTAATGCCTAGTTGTTAAACATGAATTTCACTCTTTCTCTAAAAGCGTCTGGCCAAATGCCTGCAGACATGATGGCAGAGTAACAGCAGTTAGGTGCCGTGAAGAACAAAACACAATGAATGATTTGCCTGTAATCGGATACTCGTGTTTGCGCAGAGAACTCTGGGATCGTCAGGGGGCAAACATATGTATAGTGAAAAGTTGTTTCGACGTTAAAAAAAACGATTTTGGGGAGAGATCAATGCTTTTTCGCCGTCCTTTTATCGCAAATGAATTTAGTTAGTATTGATATGTGGAAAATGTGAGTTTTTGTTTGAATAACCGTGAACTATGTATAAGACGTACCGATAAACTCCCTTGCTTGCGTGAGGTTTATTTCGAAATTTACATCGCGTATTGGTCCGAAAATATGACAAACTTAGGTGTAATCGAGAGGAAATAACCCAGAAAAGCCCTTCAAGTTATGTAACGCTACTTTTGGCTTATTTTCGAGCTCTGTTATATAAATAATATTGGAAATAATCCCGGAGGCGATCATTGTGCTGTGTGGGGTTGATTAAAATGAGTAGACAGACCTCGCGACTCATGCCATGTGGTTATTGTGTTGTTCAAAGCTGTTGTTTTGCTTTTACAGGCACGTCTTTAGGCGATTTTCCTTTTCTAAGTGGTTCCTTGAATATCTCTTTGAGTATTTGCATTTAATATGCCATTTGTCCTTGATTATGCTTTTTAAATTTTGTTATTGCAGTTGAAATTGCGTAACGAAGGGTGGAAGTTTCTTGTGCATTCTCGTTTTCTGTTTTAGAGTTTCTTGTCTGTCTTTTTATCAAACTTCTCAGGGAGTCTTTTCTACCATTTGCTCCGGGTAGCCTCTCGAAACAAGGAGTGTTTTCAAACTTTAAATATTCTGTTCAATGTAAATTTCACAATAAACCTCACGCAAGTAAGGGAGGTTATCGGTAGTTTTTAATCACATATTTCACGGTTATTTAAACGAAGACTTACATTTTCCATGTATCAACATTGCCCAGATCCATTTTCGATAAAACAACGGCGAAAAA